TTCAAGGGCAAAAGTGGGATCAAGTTCTAGAGATTGTCTCCAAATCCGTAGCAGAGGCTTCTCCTCTAGTTGTGGGAGTCTCGGGTCAGGGTATGTTTGCTGATCCTGTTCAGGTTATATTTTGGATTGATGTCCGATTTGCGCGGAATGCTGCGGAAACGTGGGGTATAATATGGTAGGGTCGCTTGTTTTTTTGCGCGCACGCAGGATCTCGAAAGGCATGCACTTTACGTCGCTGTGTCATTGGCATTTGCTGAAGGTTTGCTTGGCAGGTCTGTAGTCTTGACAACTCTCAGGCAAAGCTGCCATTTTGAATGGTGTGATGCTGCAAAGTGTCAAAGCCATTCCAAACATGCAGCTTAGTGCAACTTGCGCCTGTTGGAGGCTGAACGGAAAAGGGATGGCAACGTCTTCTGCTCATCCTTCTCCTTCTTCCCACATCTCTTGAGGAGTGTCTGAGCTCCTCTCTATGGTTTTTGCACTCAGTGCAAAACATCTTCACACCTTTCTTCCAGAAGCGCTGACTTGGATGTCCCTGCCAAGAAGGTGGAGGGACCCAGTCTTCGTTACAGCATTTGCTGGCTGAGGGCAATGTTTGAGTGCCATTTTGCCACACCTGGTGCAAGTGTTGTGGTTCTGTTGGTTTGGCCAGGACCTGGCTGCCTCCTTTGAAGATAGTTAGCACACTCCTTTGATCGACACCCATCTCCTCAAGGTGCAAGGGGGAGGTTTGAACCTTCTAGATTTCCCTCCATTGTTGAAGCCTCAGTGCCATTCGGTCTTCTCTGGGTCTGTCTTGAAAGGGTCTCTGTTATGGCATTTCATCCTTTTCGAGCGTCCAGAAAAATCATTTGCATCCTTTCTGAGCAGCTTGCAGAATCCCAGTCCTATACTCCTCCTTCTCCACTGCAAAGCTCGTCTCTTTGTGCAAGTCAAGCTGCTTTTTGGTACTATAGTAGAGCACCAGTTCCACATGATCCTGAGAGGCATAATTGAGCACCATGTCATAGATGAGTTTGAATCCTTTAAAGGTGACACGCATTTCATCTACCCCGTGATCAGAAAGATGCCAACCCAGCTTGAGGAAATTGGCAATCCTGTCATTGGAGATGTTGGGGTGTTTGAAAGGCTGCTCCAAACGTACTTCGATCCGTCCTCAAAAGTAAAGTCCTGGACAAAGTGAAGGTTTGTGCCGCGTCCAAGTTGTCTCCAAGTGCTGAAGGACGTACCGTTCAATTTTGCGGTGCAGCTGGCCAAAGATGCCAGTGCCTTCCATCCCTAGCCACTGGACCTGAACTTCATGAAGAGGAAGTTGTCTCCGTTCTTGCTCCGGCTGCTGCAACCTTGGAGCTGGGGCATACTTGTGGATCTGCCTCACTGTGATCTACTCATGTACTCCACATCCTGGTCCAGCCGGAAAAGCAGCTGCTCATGTGGTTTGAAAGGGACCTCCCAATTGACCTGCACCGAAAAGTCTGCCACCATATTAGAGACAAGTGCACAGTCCAGCTCATTTCCCGTGTTGCATGTTTCCTCTCCCGTGGCAAGTATCGTCATCTGCGTGACGGAACCCATCATAGTCGTCATGAGCTCCTCCCAGGTCACATTGAAATCTCCCATGATGGTGGTAGGCTGTTGAATGAGCCCTGATGCGAATGGGTTGCTCCCTGTAGTGCTTCCCCACACTTCATGTAGACAGAAATCATGATTAATTAGTTGAAATTCCTGGAATGACCACTGCACTGCCATCCATCCACATACATCAATGATTTGTTTGTGCAGAACATAAACATGCTGGTTTGCCGAAAACACAATCATAAAGCCCTGATTGGTGCCCTGTTTCGGGCTAATTGCAGCTTCAGCACCCAGCACTTGCAGTCCTCTAGTGCTGAACGATTGAACTACCTTCTGGTAGTCCTCCCCCGCAAGATGAGTCTCAACCATGCTAAGACGCTAAGAGGGCTCTGTGGCCTCGTCAGAACCCAATTTCGGAAGCCTGGCCAAGTTGATCACATTTGCGAAAGCAAAGATAATGCCATTGGTCTTTTGCCTCTTGTTGGAGTCCTCTGCTCCTCGTGGTGGAGCCTGTTCCTTGACAATGGTACCTTCTCGGGCAAGAACCGGGAAGAAGGAACCGCCCGAAAGGTGCCTTCATCCGCAACCCAGTAAAGTCCTCTGTACAAGTACACTGTCAAAGTGCCCACTGTTGTGTTCTCAACCACTATGGCAAAGCATCCCAATCAAGGTATTGGACCGTTGTAATGTTTTTTCCCCAAACAGGCCTTTTAAAGGGGTGCATGCTCGGGCCGGATGATTTTGAGTTTGTCTCCGGACTTGTGTTCCTGGCCGCATGATTTCACCCTTGTCTCCCACTTGTCTCCCACTTGTCTCCCAGTAAGCTCTGGATGCTCTCAGTGCTCTGGCCGCATGATTTTATATTTGTCTTTCATTTGTCTCCCACTTGTCTCCCAGTAAGCTCTCGATGCTCTCAGTGCTCTGGCCGCATGATTTCAGGCTTGTCTCCCACTTGTCTCCCACTTGTCTCCCAGTAAGCTCTGGATGC